ATACTGCAAAGAATGAATATATGTTAGTATTTGATGAATTTAGCTCTAAAAGAGATAAATATAAAGGAAAATGTGCAGACTGTAACCGATATAACACATCTTACGCTTGGTGTCAAACATGTGACCCTCAGAAAACAACGCAAGGATGGACAAGTGGAGATAAGGATGTCGATGATTGTATTAAAGAATTTCAACTTAAAGCTACGAAATATGAAGATGTAATCGAGTGGATTCCTTTTAATAAATTAGATAACATTCGAAATATCGGTAATAGATTCTTAGCAACTTGGTTAGATGGAATACGTGCAAATTATGAAGTTGAATATAAATATAGATCTACACAGTCACGTATACTATCATGCGTGGTGGAGCTTAAAACATTAACTAGATCACGAAATTTATTAGATACATTAAAAGAAGTAAGATTATATTATTTATTATATATGCAGTTTATTTAATTAATAACGCATTTACATAAATAAATTCTACTTATATTTTGTTAAGTTTAAAAATCATATACAATTAGAGAGTGGAAGTGTTTATGGATTAACTAAAAACACTGCAGCAAATGAATATATGTTGGTATTTGATGAATTTTGTTATAAAAGAAGTGGGTGGAATGGAAAATGTGCAAATTGTGACCGATATAACACATCACCGGCTTGGTGTCAAACATGTGACCCTTTGAAAACAACACAAGGATGGACAAGTAGAAATAAGGATGTTAATAATTGCATTAAAGAATTTCAACTTAAAGCTACGAAATATGGAAACGTAATAGAATGGATTCCTTTTAATAGATTAGATAATATTCAAAATATCAGTGATAAATTTTTAGCAATCTGGTTAGATGGAATACGACGTTTAAACTATGAATATGATGATAAGTATAGATATAAGTATAAATATACACGGTCACGTACACCATCATGCGTAGTAGAACTTAAAACATTAACTAGATCAAAAAATTTATTAGATACATTAACAAAAGTAAGTTTCTATTATTTGTTATATGCGTAGTTTATTTAATTAACTGTGTTACGACTCTTTTTTTGTTAGCTTAAAAATCATATGCAGTTAGAGGAAGATTGTGTTTATGGAGTAACTCGTAACACAGCTACAAAAGAGTATATGTTAGTATTTGATGAATTCGGCTCTAAAAGAAATATGGTTAATGGAAAATGTTCAAATTGTAACCGATGCAACACGTCGCCAGTTTGGTGTCAAACATGTGACTCTCTGAAAATAACTCAAGGATGGACAAGTGGAAATAATGATGTCGATAATTGTATTAAAAAATTTCAACTTAAAACTACAAACTATGAAGATGTAATCGAGTGGATCCCTTTTAATAAATTGGGCATTATTCAAAAGATTAGTGGTAGATTTTTTGCAACATGGTTAGATGGTGCAAGATACGTTGATGAAAATAAGCCATATGAATATACACAGTCGCGTACAACACCATGCGTAGTGGAGCTTAAACCACTAATTAGTTCACAAAATTTATTAGATATGTTAAAAGAAGTAAGATTAAAATTATATATTTATTATGAAGTACTACTGTACAGTATAGCTTTATTTTAATTTATATTATTTTATGTTCGTAAAAATTTAATAAGTTTACAGATTATGTACAGTCGAATAATATTAAAACATACGGATTAACTCAAGATACTGCAAAGAATGAATATATGTTAGTATTTGATGAATTTAGCTCTAAAAGAGATAAATATAAAGGAAAATGTGCAAACTGTAATCGATATAATACAACCTTAGCTTGGTGTCAGACATGTGACCCTCTGAAAACAACACAAGGATGGACGAGTGGAAATAAGAATGCTGACGATTGCATTAAAGAATTTCAGCTTAAAGCCACATTTTATGAAGATGTAATCGAATGGATTCCTTTTAATAGATTAGATAATATTCAAAAGATTGGTGAAGGGGGATTTAGCACAGTGTTCTCAGCAACGTGGTTAGATGGTAAAAGAATAGTTTCAGGTGAATATGAGAAATACACACAATCAAGTACGCCATCATTTATAGTTGCACTTAAGACATTACCTGGATCACAAAAGAATTTTTTTAGAGAAGTAAGTTAAACTAATTTATTCTGATATATTATAGATAAATTATTAACGTTACAAATTTTATTCATTTGAAAGTTTAAAAGTTATATGCAATTTAGATTATTGGGTAGCAATCTTGAGGTATATGGATTAACGCAAAATATTAATAATGAATATTTAATGGTATTCCAATATGCAAATAAAGGAAGTCTTCATAAATTTCTATCATCAAATTTCAGAAAACTTAATTGGAAAATTAAATTAAAACAACTTGTTGACATATCAGAAAATCTTAAAAAAGTGCATAATGCAGAATATGTTCATGGAGATTTTCATAGTGGTAATATATTGCTAAATCAATATGTTAATGGAAATATAATACCCTATATTGCAGATCTAGGGTTATCCAGAAAGAAAGATGAATCTGATTCAGAAGATGATATTTATGGCGTTTTACCTTATGTTGCACCAGAAATGTTAACTGAGCGATTATATACGATAGCAGCAGATATTTATAGTTTTGGCATAATTATGACTGAAATGTCTACAGGAAAACCACCTCATTATGATGTTGAATATGATGGAATATTAGCTATTAAAATATGTAATGGATTACGTCCTGAATTTGCTAAAGGCACACCGGAGTGTTATATTCAATTAGCAAATAAATGTATGGATGCTAATCCTTCTAATAGACCAACTGCATCTTATATTTACAATGAATTATCAAGATGGTATAATATAGTAAATCGTAGTGTTGCAAAAGACAAAAATGAATTAACAATATTAAACGTATTCCAGTCTGCAGATGAGATTATTCCAACATTATCAGCTAAATTATCAAATTATTCTAAAGATAAACTTACAAGTAAATTGCTTAGCTTCAAAGATCTTTCTAAGCCAATTAATTCTCTACCTGCAGAATTACTAAAAATTCATGGCGAACATTATGTATATTTTATCAATCAGATTTTTAATTAATTGATAAAATTTTTAATATATTTTAATTTTTAGGCTCTAAAAAATGTGACTTTTCAATTTCTGATGACGAGTAGTCAAAAATTTTCTAATCGTTTAACACTAATTCAACTGGGGTTACTAGATATTGTAAATTATGTTCAAGTGCGAAATTTTGTTTTTAAATTTTCTTTATTAAATTTTCTATATTTATTGTACTTCTTACTATATTTGTTAGTGCTATTGTTTTGGAATTGCTATGTATAAGTTAGATTGGTTTGGAACCATAGATCTTGGGTTGAGACCACAGATCTTGGTTTCAGACCACGGTCATTTGAAATGTATAAATATGATGGTTAAACTAATAAAGATCGGAGAATCAAGAGAATTCCATCATAGTTTTATTCGATGTATTATAAATAACATATTTTGAAATTCCTGCCAACTAAATACAATCCTTAATAACCCGTTATTAAATCTGAATCCTTAATAAAACATCATCTCGCATAGCTATAGATGCTGGTGAAATGGTGAAATAGTTTCACCAAAATTACACCAAAATAAAAATTTGGTGAAATGGTGGAATTGGTGAAATT